CAGGATTTTCTTCCAGTTTTGGTGGAGCTTCTACAAAAGAAAAAAGATAAAAAAATTTAGATTTTTGTTGCAACAGGCTCTAGGGTATTTTACTTTAAAAAGTATAACTTTAGGGAGAACATCACACAGAACAGCACATGCTGCCAGCTTACAGCAGCCTCCAAGTCTTCACATAACATGCCCTCACATACCTCTTGTGGCAGTGTAACTATTAGAACCTAAGGCTCAAAATCTAATATTCAAAATAGTTAGTTAAAAACAATTCTTTTTCATCATAATCAAACTAAAGGCCAGGACTAATAAATCTAAATTAATTAAATTTCAAAAGTATTCTTATCAGACAACAAGAATGGTATTTTGTTTTCCTATACAAAGACAAACTATTTAATTTCAGCCTGAATTATCTTGCTAGAAAAGGATTAAAGTTTTTAAGGGGAAAACAAAGGAAGAGAAGAGAGAATCCGTACATAATACACAAAATGGCTGCCGCAGTCTGTGTGTAAAATAAGTTTTCTGAAACTAGAGATTCAACAAAGAGAAAAATTCACTGCACTTGGCGGCCATGTTTAAATAGCAAACCAGTTTCAGTCAGAAAATCATCTTCTGGTCCAGTTTACCCATCCAGCCTATTTGACTTTGTAGTCCATATTTAGGTGTGGGCAACGATGTCACTTTGTAATACCCGTGTCATTACAAACTGCTTTTGTTCCACAAGGCCACATGTCTGCCTGCTATAACAAACAGAGAAGATGGGACATTATATACCTAGAGCTTTAAGAAGATTCCTAGTACAATGAAATCGGAGTATTTGTTCTCAATATTCAGTTGCTCTGATTAAAACATTTGGGTGGCTGTGAGGCTCTGTAACAGCCCTATCTCACCCCTCCTACCAGCCCTGCAGTCTTTACTCAGGTGACCACACAATCTAACCCAGAGAACCCCCTCTCTCTGAAACACTTGATGACATACAGTACACTAATAAAGAAAGATCAAATGCCCTACTTGACCCCAATTTCTCATCATAAACCAGAAGAAAAAAAAAAACCTCTTCATTTTCTGGAAGCCCTTATTATTTATAAACAGTCTCCACAGCCATTAACAACTAACCAAGTAAATAAAAACTCTCATTTCTGAAGAGCTGTACTCACAAACCATAACTGTTTGGTCACATAGAGACTTATGAAAATAAAAGTGAATCTTTGCAAAGTCGTCAAATAGGCAGAAATTTCAAATGTGTCCGAAGTCCTTCTCAGTACTCACACAGTCACCTACAGACCTGACAGCTGGCTTTAGCTAGCTGCATGGAAACACCTGAAGAGAACAGTTTCTGTACGGTAGTATGTACCACCTGAATCATGACTCCCAAAGAATGCCAGGAAGCACATTATTTGATCTCTTACTAAAAGGAAGCTAAAATGCAAAACATAAATGGAGGAGATTGATTGACTCATTCAAGATGTTTTCCTTTTCCCCCTGACAATACTGACAGGAAACTGATGACACTTGCTTCCCTGCATTGCATTCCACCCTCTGTAAATACACAGTGTTTCTTTACTTGCCCAAGTACTGCCTCCCAGCCCGAATCCTGGAACTGGCTCCACCTCCTCAAAGATGAAAGACATTGTAAATTCTCAGTCAAATGGGGAAACAACAAGCATATTTGATGCCTTAGTCTCTGAAAACAGATCTTGGCCTGAAGTCTCACAGTGAGTTCTCCTTAACACTTGCTTCTACAATTGCAGAATGATGATGGGAAGCTGAGGCTCAAAGCTGAGCCAGTAAGTAGTACTGCCTAAAGCAATACTAAGGTAGGCACATTTATCTGCTCAGTTATTACTAAAAAGGAAAGATCAGTTCCATTTTTCCTGGGGGAAGAATCTCACCACCTGCAGGACATTGCTGCAAATGTTAACAAAGGGTCTACTCTACATTAACTTTTCACATCATGCAAAGAGCAGCACTGTTCACAGACATGAGGCTGGTACTAACTCTTGGCAGACTGACACTTTGCCATTAAATCAATTGGCACCAGAGATAAACCACACAGATATCAGCTGGCTGTACACCTGGGCTGAGGAATTCTCCTTCCAGAAGCCTGGCTGGTCATGGCATCAGCATGGGGTTGGTCACACACTCCTCACCTGAGTCAAAACACCTCACAGCTTGTTCTCCATAAGCATCTGTGCGTCTTTAGCGCATACTTTCTGGATCATGTTTACTAGTTATGCAATCAGTATTAATATAAAATCTATTGCTTCATCTGATCTCACTGACTGCAGCCTCCCAGACAGAAATTCACTCTCTTCTTTCTATTGCTCATTATATAGAATAAATCAGAAGACAACACTGAGATTCAGATTGTACAAAACATGAAACCAATTATCTCCTAGTAATAAAAGGTATTTTTATTAGTAACTGAAGTTTGAATGAACTTGCATTAATACTGACCTTGTAATGAAACACACACACACAGGTCTCAATAGCCTTTTCTAGTACACTGGGTACAAATACCAAGGTTTGGGTAGCAGAAGGACTGCAGGAGTGGCCTCTGCAGGAGAAGGTCAGGTGCTGCCCTGTGCCAGACACAGCCACTTCCCTAATGGACTCACTGCTGGCCAGAGCTGAGCCCCTCAGTGAAACTGGTGGGACTTCTGTGAAAAAATACTTAAGAAACGGCAGAAAATAACAAGGAAGAGGGGATAAGGGTACAAGGGAGCAGCAAACAGAAAACAGAAGAAACAAAGAAATGAGAAAAGACCAAGGCCAGGGGAGTAGGACGTGCCCCATGTTGTCTTCGCTTCCTAATACCCAAGTTAGTAATTAAATGTCTGTGTTAATTGGTAATAAATTAAATACTTGCTTTCTTCAAGCAGCAAACAGACAACAAAAAGTCTATCCTGTATTATTAGTAAGGAACTGCAGACAAGCAATGTGTTAGAAGCAACAAGAAAAGACATCTTGATGGCTATGCCATCAAGTTATGCGTTTCCTTTTACTGATCTCAAGGGCTTTAGTGTACCGGTGTATCCCTTTCCTTCCTCTCCCTTCCTTCGTTTCTTATCTATTCATAACCTACACTTACTTTGTTAGTTTTTCTCAATACACATTTGTCTCTGACTGTTTTCATAAGGTAACTCATACAACTGGTACTCAAAGAACAGTATGATTAAAAAAAAACCCTGATCAGACAGTAAGGAATTCAGGAAAGGATTTTCTTGATTACCACCAAGCATATTTCTAGCATCATATAATAACAGCTAATAATAACACAGGAATCGTTCTGCCCACCATGAAAATGCAATTATTTCCAGGGTAGTACAGGACAACCACTTAATTTACAACAGCGTTCTTAAGTTGTGAAAGGAAGGAAATGAAGACTATCATGTCAAACAGTAATTGTAGTACTCTTCAAGCATCTTGGCAAAATACAATTATTTAATATTTCCATAATATAATTATTTAATTAAATGAGGATATTTTCTCCCAACAAATGCATATCTATTTCAGAGCCACAAACGGCACCTCTAACAGCACTGATGCATTGGTTACACAAAGGTTTAGCAGTGACCCTCTTGAAAGACTGTCTTTAGTTTTGTCACCGGTATAGTTTTATGTTGCATCATAAAACCTACTTCTTATACCTACTTCTTCTTGCATATTTGCCATGCAAGCACTGATCCTGCCTATTTATACTTCCTTAACAAGAAAGACCACGAGAACATCAGTGGCTGCTTCAAGTTTCTGATGGCCTTAACTGTTAAGTTCATGAACTCATGTAATAACATTAACAGCCAGCATTTAGCAGATTAAATGGGTAAGGAATATTGCCATAATTAAACTAATTTCAGTGGTATCTAAGGCACAATGATACTGAAGTATGTATAAGGAATAATTTTAAATGCAATTTAGCATCTAATCTATAATTGATCCTGTGGCTGATTGTATTGTATCATGATCCATCTATGGAAGCCTCTAAGCTTTAAAATAAATCAGTCATCCTCTCTTCCAATATGCATCTGGAGTTACCAACTACTTGGTTTACAGAAGAGGTCATAGAGACAGCACTGAACAGTAAGAGTTCGGTACTTCACAAGTCACTAGACTGCACATGCTTTATCCTCCTCTGTGATGCCTAATTTAGACCATCATCTGCTGCCAACAATATACTTTTTTCCTCTTTTATTTTTTTTCTTATTTATTTTCCTAAGCTGTACATTGTGTAACTTTTCTCCAGTTTATGACTGATGCTAAATTGACTCTGTTGTGATGAAGAAGAAACTGAAGGAACTGACTCTCACACAACCTCAGCAGCCTGCAGATTCTTGAGATAATCATGAAGCAGCTCACAGCAACTTTATGTGTTTGATTGTCTCCGATGGTACTTCGGGAATTGTTTCAGAATTTTAAGTACCGACTTTTTCACAGGCCTAAAGGCCTCAGACTCTGGCTCCTAGCACTCAAAAAAAAAAAAAAAATCTATATTTGACTTCCTGCAGGCAGTAGTATTGCAGCTTTCTGTGGAAGGAAGGATTCCTTTCATCCTTTTCCTCTACATCTGCCCTTCAACTATTAGCCAATCTATACCCTCCACACCCTCTCATCAGAGGCTATTCTATGCAACAGGTCAAACTCCCAGACTTGCATAGGGTCATGGAGCCTTGATATAGTTTTTAGAGGTGTGAAAACTTTACCTAAATTTTGTCACACAGGAAGATACACAAAGATTGCACTTTCAAAGTCTACTGCAATTAATGCAAACACATTATCAGCATCCTTAATAATTACAGTCTGAAAATTCATGTCTCGGAAGGCTGACCTCACGCAGGACACTGTTATAAATCCTCTACCAGATGCATGAACCTCTGCAATGAAAACATGACCTCCTTGTTTGTACAGCATGATGAAACACCACCAAGCAACGGCAGAAGCAGCTCACCAATATGCAGCACTGCATCAGCGATGGAGAAAGGGATACTCGGAAGACAAAGATCTAAAGTTGCAGTAACAGTTGACAGAGCTTCCCTCAGAAAGGTTGTTTTATGTACTTTCTCTCACCCCTAAAAATCACAATATGAGGTGTCAACTTTAAAATTGTTTTGTGCTGAAAAGTTAATTTAACTGTTTTGAATACTCAAGTTAAGTTAAATCCTCTTGTCAGAGTCTGGTTTTGTTTCCAAAGAACTGACTTTAATGGAAGTGCACCTAAGAAAAAATAAAGTATCTAAGTGGGTTAAATTCTGCTACCACTGCTCACTTACAGCTCAGCAAGTCATACTGATGTTGCCAGGGTTCCTCAAAGAGGCTGACAGAGCCTGTCAGAGTCTGTCTGTACAGAGTACGAAGAACAGCAAAGCTCTAATCTTTAAAAAAAAAAATCTGATCCAAACGACATACAAAACACACAACCTCCTCGAGAGGATTCAACTCCACATCCAGCCTTTGCATATTCCAGCACACTCTGCAGTTAATGTTAACACCGGCCAGATCAGACAGGGAATGGGAAAAAAATAAGTCCCAAAAAGGTGATCCTTTCCTGAAAAGCTGTCAAGGAGCCATGATAATACTTCAAATAGTATACAATCAGCACAAAACTTTAAAGATTAAACTTTATATGACAAGACTTAGAGAAGGAAATGCCAAAAACTCTCTCAACAATTTTTTTACTTTTTTGAGAACTTGAAACACAATTTATTATTATTAATTGATATGTTACCACTATTGCATTTTAGTGCAGCCAATACACATACATAATGGTAAGCTACTGAAGTGCTGCTAACATTTATTTTCATTTGTTTCTAAAAAACCAAAATTTCCTGGAGAAATTTGATTTTTCCCTAGGAAATAATTCCATGCTTATTGTGCGTATTAAGGTGGAAATTCAGTGTGGTTCTGCTGCTTAGCAGAAGCTCCTTCTCTCCCCAAAGTCACTTCGAAGGTCTAGAAACATAAACATCAGACTGTATTTTCTCTATATGAATGACACAAATAGATTAAATTAAGAGCCATACAAAGCTCTTTGGAATCTTCACACCCACACCAAAGTGCTCTGTGGGTTTTTTTTCTCTTTCATTTTTGGGCACCATAGGCCATCCTGGAAGCCTGTGCCCCCGGGAAGCCCAGGACAGACCTGGCTGGGCGTCCCCCGGAGCCACACTGACACTAGCGCACTTGAACACTCCGCAGAGAGCCCGAGCAGCTCCCCTGGCAGACGTGCCACCTCTCTCCACAGCGCTCTGCCCTGGACTCATCCTGCCTGGACTCTCCCATTAACTGTTCACTAGACAAGACTGGGGGAAGCTAACTATTTATCAAATACACGCTCATAAAGGCATTAAGTTCACTGTGCCACACATTCTCAATAATGTACTCATTTGTCATTTCCTTTCAGGGACTTCTTATCAGAAATATCAGGGTATATTAGCTGTTTGGTGATAGAAAGATCCATAAGATCTTTGAATTCAAAGTAAGAAGTTCTTATTATCAAGTCTTCATAGATCTGAAATAATGAAATGAGTTAGTGTATTGCAAGAGACTGAAAAAGGGATGCTAACATGTACTCATTCCAAGTCAATGACAGCAATTCAAGTTCTTATACATCAAATGGACAAGTCTGGGTATATCAAATTTTGGTTTCAGGTAGAAGAAAGATGTTTGAAAATGACTCTCAAAATGTGCTCAGTGCTAGAGGACAGCGTAAGAAACAGGAAAATTTGTTTTCTAAAAGAAATTTGAAGTTTTTAAGGCTTCTTAAGAACTTCTTGAAGAACTCTCAGAACTGCAAGTAGCAAACTTACAAACTGCTAATTAATCAGCACATTCTATTACACCGGTTATTTCCCAAGGGTAAGAAAACATATAAGAGAAAAATAAAGCTATTATTATGTCATCAAGCAAACACTAAACAATATTGTGTGGTTGCACACAAACAACACTTTATAGGAACAAGGTCTTGGTAAGGGCTCTATATTTCTCCTGTATACACTAGAACCAGTCTATTCTGATCTGAAAATGCTATAAATCCTGTTGTTTCTAATAGATATCTTCTCACTAGTAGCCTATTAAATCCCCCTCTAGCCATAACTGTGCTATGGATATGAATCAGGCTAGACAGGTCCCTGCATCATTCTGGCAAAGTTAACAAAGTTAACAAACCTGGACAACCTGAAACTAGGGTAAAAGCTTTTAATTTACTAGAAATTGATTATCAAAGGAAATATGTATTTCATTATCAAAGCAAAAATGTACAATCAATTTCCTCTGATGATATTTACCAGATAAAGACACAGAGCTCACTAACAGGTACCAACTCTGCACTTTCGAGGCTTTCTGTATCACTTGACACCAATATTTTGATAAAGACCAATTTCGTCTTCTCAGATGGGTAAAAGGCCATTTTGCAGAAAATACACTACAAGGACATTGAAGACTAAGGAGTACCATGTTCCAAAACTCCAGACTTTCTAAAACACATTTTTATGGCTGTCTACAGCAATGCCTCTCTGCATTCCTCATACTTGGAAACCAGATTTTAAAAAAGCAACAACTCATTTAAAGTAACACATAGTTGCTTAACTACAGGCCTTCAAGATAAAGGATGGTCAGAAGAATTATTTATTAACTATCACTTAAAAGACTGCCGCTGTCTTCATTCCAAGAAATATATTTTAAACTGCAAAATTATTTTTTTCATTTTAAAAACCTCTGTACTTAAAGCACTAACTTAAGCTCAACTCTCATTTCGAAGGTGACATTGAGATTCTGTAGATACTTTGCATTTAATATACACAACTATTTCTACTGGGTCAAATTATCAAATTATCAATGTTGAGGCCTGCTATATTATTTAGAACTTCCATTCCCACACCCATTAAAATCCATACCTCCTTCTTTTATTCTTTGTTGAGGAGTTGACATGTTGGTCATGTCATGCCCTGAGCAAATTCCAACACAACAAAAACTCTCCATGCCAAAACTCCTCCTGCAACTGGCACTGAATGCCATTTCACGTTTTCCCAACTTGCTTTGTTCCATGAACTGCATTTTGCCAATAGGGAATTTTATTATTACTGGTAGAATGGTTAACAAGTGTAAAGGTTGTTTTAAAATCCAGCTTATTTTGTATTTAGAACGAACATAATGTTTAGATGATAAAAAAAAATAAATTTTGGTTTTGTGGGTTGTTTTTGTTTGTTTAATTATTATGGTTTAAGTACAGCTTAAATTGTAAACAGAGTGAATAGCTGCCCAGGGTGGCAGACCACCTGCTTCACCAATTCAAAAGGAAGGGGATGACTTTCTCCACCAATGGCCCACTGCATGGTGACAGGCAACTGCAATTATTGCTGCTGCCCAAGACTCTCCTCTAGCTTCCTGACCCAACCCCATCCTGGCCCTTTCCTCTCTCTTTTTGTTCCCAGCAAGCCAAAAGGGTGAGTAGAGGTTCTCTGAGAAAAAGGAGAAGAGTGGATTTTGAAAAGGAGGAGGAGAAGCAGTATCAAGCCCAAGGACCCTCCAGCTGGACTCCCAGGCCTGAGTGGGCAGGCAGGCAGGGAAAAAAGTGGCCATTCCAGCCTGACTTCCAGCCTCCTCCTGTCTCCTTTCCCCTACTACCACCCCATCAATTCCTCCCAGGACCGTTACTAAAACGATGAAAATCCTTGTTCGTTACAGCCTGCTGTCATCACAGTTCAATAAATACCAGAATATACTAGGAACTAGCATTCCTCAGTTCTTAGCAAGTATAGAAAGGTTTGCAAGCAAGCCTGAAGGGTACAGATATACAGTCAATAAAATCTACATATAAAGAGCACTCTGCAATGGCAACAGAATAAACCAGCTTCTACAGTAGGGCTTAGGGTCAGAGACCCTAAGACACAGCACAGACACAGCACACTGAGTTCCTGTCCAGAAAAGGAGATGCAGAGACCCTAAGACACAGCACAGACACAGCAAAGACACAGCACACTGAGTTCCTGGCCAGAAATGGAGATAAAAAGATTCAGAATATTCCACTCATTGAAACTGCACATGTTCCTAAATTTAGGCATCTGCTTATGTGCTTGCTAAAAAAGGAATCTCATCTGCATTTAATGAATAGCAGACCACATTTTTCTTTGGGATTAGTGCAGTTTGCATCTGTGCAGCCGAGAGGATTTAAAAGCTCAGTGTGTTTTAGATCATAAACCCAAATCTATGTCACCTGAAGTAAACACAAAAGCACTTAACTATTTTGAAAACTTTATTTGCCAAGAGCTGTCAGGCCATGACACTCACTAGTCATATGTACAGCTTTTACTTTTATACAAAACTGAGCAGTCACACCAAAAGTAAAGTCCACATGAGGAAACAGAAACTAGATCTCTTCTACCCCCACCCAACTCAAAGCACCAAACCCAGGCTTACCCTTTCAGTAATCACATAAAATGAGATTTTTCTCTGCTTACCGGGTTGTACTGAGCTTCCTCAGATTCACTCAGCTTCACCAACTTCCACTCAGTCCTCTGAGGAATTTTGTTTTGGCCCCTTCTTCACAAACACAAACATTTTAGACAGCAGCAGCTCCCCCACTCAAACAGCCTTTTCACCTTTCATAAATACTTTCAACATTATGATAAATGTTGTAAGCTGTTCCACCGCTTCCACCGAAGCACATCACTGGCACTGCAGTGAACAGCCATTTTGACAAGTGGGCCTGCGCTTGACAGGGCTCCCATTTCAAAAGTACCTTCCAAACGCTTGCAGGTGTAACTGTGCGTGCTCGGAGCTAGTTCACACTTTCAAGTTTTTTTCCTAAGCTACCCCAAGAGACAGAGATGAGCCCGAGTTTTAAATAAAAACTGAAGAAATCTGAAGAACAACAGGGCAGTTTTGAAGAAGAGCCTGCATGCACTTCTACAAAGCATCTTCCATCCCCATTTGCCATTGCTCTTTTCACGCTTAAACCACCAGACATACCCTAATGCAGTAGCAGCGAGTTCAGTACATTTTAAAGATCTGCAAACTACACTGCAATAGAAAAAGAAAACTAAGCATAATATAGCTTCTCCTCTTTGCAGAAAAACATGAATGACAAATTAAAAGCACTCTCCCATCTTTGATACCAAGCAGATTTGTGCTAATGTTAATAGCAATAATAAACTGAGATTGTCAAGATATCATGAATTCTCCTAGAAATAGTAAGAAAAAGCAAAGAAAATGCAATCAAATGAAGTCCTCGGGTTTAATAGGTATTTGGTAAATGCTGTGAGCCTATACTTATCTTTAACTTAGTTTTGAAAAAAAAGATAGTAGGTCAAAAACATGCTAAAAGAAGACAAGTCATGTAGACAACCAGCAGTCTGCATAACCAGAAGGCAAGGAGGATTTTCTAGATTACATCCAAACTCTTTGGTTTGTTTACTGTTCTCAGCTGTATGTACTGCCCATCCTACAACTAGGAACCCTGAGAAATATCTGCTACCTGAGGTTTTTTTCCTCTTCTGTGTTATTTTAAGAACTGCAGATAAAATGGCTTTTAAATTTACAATATTCTGCATTTCTTTTGAACTTTAAAAACCAGAATAACTTTAACTTTATTTTTTTTTTATTTGAAGCCGCATTAACTCTACCCTTCTTCTGCCTCAGTGCTCCATAAGCACTGTTATTCCTCAATACGAGAGGAAAAAGATGCACTCATGTCTCACCAAGGCATACAATTGCCCATGGACTTTGATGACCGTTACATGAGGCAAGAACTGGACACTGTCACTCCACAAAGAGTATGATCTTCAGATGAACGGAATACAGACAGTTTATAAAAGCCCTATCTTTGTATCCACAATTGGTCCTTCTTTGGAAAATAAGGCAGTGAAACCATTAAAACCTGCAGAACAGCAAAGGTCAATTATTTCATATTTGCTAAGTAGTTTGAAGAGATAAAATTGTATCTGTTTTATACTGCTCTTTACAACACACCAAGTCGATTCCTCAGAAGAGATAGTGTGCAATTTTATGAACAGGGGAGCTACAAAGCCATGATCATTGTGGGGAGAAAAAAGGTGTAGTGACATGATTGTTACTGTTGAAAGAGATCTAAAAGCTTGGAACATACAAGGAGTTTCTTAAACAGATGCTGATTGCTACAAAATGATGGACAAATTCCACTATAATTTACACTAGAAATTAAAGATGTATGGAGGTAGCTGGTTGTTTGTTTTGTTTTTAAAGTAATCACAGCCCTGTCAAAATTTTAATTAAAACCCCCCCACAC